AACCATAACCGAATAAAGTTCACGGTTTTTCCCCATATCCAAACCATACCTGAATTTTCATATCCAAATCCAATCCATTCGGACAGTTATCCACGGTTATATGGTTTAACGGTTAGAATTGTCATTTTTATCCATTAGTTAACATATGATATTGGGTGAATTCACAAAAACCCATAATCACCCATTAAAGAATTCAAAGGCAACATCTTTATATTAAAAAAAAAGGTTTTTATTGCAAATGGTCTCTGAAATTGATCCTAATTATGAAAATTGTCCTTAAAGTTGAAAATTAATCAATGTGATTCCTGAAAATAAATGTCGCAAATCAATGTGGTCATTTCGTCACAATTATGTTAAAAAATCTGTTAAATACTGACGTGACACATAATGGGCTCCATAAATCATTTTTTCTCACAAATGGCCCTTGAAATTGACCCGTGACATATAAATGGTCCTTGAAATTGACCATGACATCAAAATGGTCATTAAAATTGACCCGCGACATTAAATAGGCTTAATAATTTAATAGTTAATAAAAAAATTGTCAACCCAAAACCCAATCTTGCAATCATCTATGATCCCAATCCTCATTTCTATACCTCATTCGTTCTCTATTCTCTAAAAAAAATCTCAATACACCCATCTTTACATAGTTCAACACCTTTCACCGAATTGAACCTGGATCGAGATCACATTTGGTGATGGCTTGGCCCATTGGCAATGACTTCTGAGATATCACCGTTAACATTTAGGCCATCAACATCCTCACAATCTTAATCTTGGATAGCTTGTTAGACACTTCCCTGGTGGTCTGGTGATGCAAAGAACGAAGAGGTAAACCTTGAGATAATGAGGTTATAATTGAGGTGCGTCCATTTTTGGTTGAAAACCATTTCCACACGCCCTCTTAGGCATTGGTTAAGCCTTGTACATTTGAGAATTTATAGAATGGAACTCTTTTCGGAGTAATGCCCTACTATAAAAAAATTAAAATAAAATTTCATTGTGCAAAAAGGTATTTAGACAACTTTTTTAATTAACTATTAAATCCATATCAGCACATAACAAATTATTTTACAAAATTATGGCTAAATGATCATATTGATTTGCGACATCTATTTTTAAGGATTACATTGATTGATTTACAACTTCAGGGACAATATTGATGGTGTGAGTCAATTTCAGGAATCATCTTAATGGTGTGGGTCAATTTCAAGGACCATTTATAATAAAAACCCGAAAATCTTGTGGACCTATTTATGATAAAAACCTATAAATCTTGTAAGGCCTATTTATGTGCCACATCAGCATTTAACAGAATTTTTAATAGAAACTTGACGAAAGGATGACATTAATTTGCGACACCTATTTTCGAGAACTATATTGATTGATTTTTAATTTCATGAGTTATTTTGATAATGAGGATCAATTTCAGAAACTGTTTACGATAACAATCCTAAAAGATTTAATATTGAATTATAACCCGATTACATAGCCAACATGCTCCTTTTCGTCGATCCAAAATGCACCAAACGAACCAGAATCGAAACCCTCATTCACAATTATTATAAAAACATAAAAAATTGCTCTGATTTTGGGAAAACTTGGTACTAATCCAGTTCTAGTGTGAGAACGGAAAAAAAAAAAAAACGATCAGAATTAGATTTAGGTAATGAAAAATCGGGAACTTGAAACTCCATTGAAGCAGCGAGATCAGAAGAGTCGGTTCGCAAAAACCGGAGGTCGACTCGGGCGAGGATGCGAAGACCTTCATGGCGGAGGGTTTGGAGTCGGGCTGGAAAGCAAGAGGTTTCAGCAAGTTGGGGAGGAAGTGCGCGGCGCGGATTGCCGTCAGCGGGTCGTGGCCAACAACAGCGTCATTTTGGGGGAGGTTAAAAGGGTGAGGAGATTGGAGGTGGTGGAGTGTAGCAAGTGGGTTATGGCGTGTTTGGGTTGCTACTAGCTTTGGTCTGTTGTGGTTTTGTTGGTGACGCCATGAACGAGAGAGACGGAGCTTGTGTTAACGAGTGAAACTGTTAACCCCATCGAATCAGCTGAACCCAACTATTTGTCAGCTAGTTCAACAGACACACATGTTCTCACATTTGGATATAAAGTGAAGAAATTTCGTAGTGCTAGTATTTAATTTAGTATTTAGATGTTTGCATGCAAACATAATATCATAAAAGATTTATTAGCGAGTTTTAACGAAACGTTTTGGATACTGTTTATTTTTAACGAAAATAATATTTTATTCTATAAAATCACTCATGATACTATTTATTTACAATATTTTTTTATCATTTTAATTAAAACTTAAAGTTTTAAAATTCTTTTTATTAATTTTCTTTATTTATTACGAGCGATCAAACGGGACTGCGACTAAGAATAGATGTTTCATCTACTCCGGGCTCTGTACGGCACCTTGTGATCAGATCGATGCATAAATGGCTTTCTTTTAATGCGAGAGAGCCATCTAATTCAAATATTATATACGTGGTTTGAGACCTAGGGTGGGTTTCATCCTTTGCCTGGACCACCAAACAAAGAGAATACGACTTCTGCATGCATGATTAAGTAGAACTACTTAAGAGGTGGACCAATTTGTCGTCATTGTAGAGTATTGAGCCACTAACACAATACTATATGTAAAATATATCTAAACAACTATTTATTTTGTATTGATAATCTAAGGATGCTACGACAAATAGTAAACTCGTTCTATGCAAACTCGCATATGGTACATTTACCTATTCTCTCTCATCTAATTTCACATGCTGCCATGCATGTAGTATATTTAAGGAAGTTTTAACGAAAAGTCACGGGACTGTTCATTTAACGAAAAATCATATTTTTATACATAAAAAGTTAATCTTAGTACTATTCACTTTACCCTTTATTTTGTCCTTATTATTAAAACTCAAAATTTTCAAGCTCTTTTTATTAGTTTTCCTTATATTTAAATATCATTTTAGAAAAGAAATGTCCAAAGGCACACTAGCAGTCAAGACAGTAGTGATGTGCGTGTCTTGTCTTTGTGTCATCTAGCATCGGCACCGTTTGGTTTTCATGCCCAGTTCACTGAGAAATCAATCAATTAAGAGTTCCACAGGTAGCCGACTATGCAATAGTAGTTTTTTTAACTATCTGGAACCAATCTGCTGGCTCAAAACGATGTTGTTTTGACAAGGTCATTAAAAAAATGTTAAAAAACACTCTTCTTCTTTGCTAAGTACTCAGCCATGGACTCCACAACCAACTGCCCTGGTATGATTCCATGCGGCTTATAAAGAGTAAGTATTTGATGTATTGTTTGTATTTATATGATTTATTTAGAAAGAAGAAATATCAAAGTGAGCACTACATACATGTATGCACTGGCCCTTAAAAATTATGTGTCTCTCATTTTCCAATGATACATTTTTGAAATTTTCATGCTCCATTGCTAATACAGTTATCTGCATTATACAATTTTATTACAGAGAACTAAGTTAAAAATAATATTTTTAACTTCACATCTATTAGGTAAGTGGGTAATGCTACGTAGACCAATTTTTTAAAACTAAATTAGTAACACAAATTATGTGTCACCAATAATAAATAAATACGTTAATTTCTTTTATCAGCCAAAAAATATAATAAAAATTCCAACACTAGAAAACTTCGACCATCCCATCTCTCCAAACCTGAACCATCCCCAATTTCTATCTATTCACAACCCTCCACAACCACCTCCCCAACCACGCACAATAAAAATCCCAAAGATGTCAGTCGTCACTATCTCTCTCCCAACCTTTTTGATTCAAGACAAACCAAATGATTGGGGGAATTAACCTGGAATCACTCAACCAGGGCCAACAGAACTCACTCGTGTTACTAATCATGGTTTGTTCACACGACCAAGCCAAATGCTTGATTTTAGAAGGAGGAAACACTTACTTCAAATGCACAAGACAAATATATTTTACTTCATTCCAGTCTTCCAAATGATTGTATTACATCATATTTAAAGGAAGCAGAAATCAATGAATTACAACTTCCTAAAAGACTCTCACCATATTCTAAATAGACTTAACAAATTTCTAAGTAATTAAAAGTGCACTGCCATTATTATTCCAATCCCAATGCATGTGAGCAATTTCCAAGGTTGTATGCTTGCTACCGCATCATTCTCCCTTTCTTGAAAAAATTCGTCCTCAAATTTCATTTGGTCTTCCTCGATCTTTCGGATGCCCAACAAATGTTTCCCATAGTAGATATTTTAGTAAGATAATCACAATTCATACAACATTGCAAAGAGCACAAAATTCATAATATATTTTCTGTTTCCATCATGTATAGACAGATCCCCTTGTGATGCATATAGGCTTCCAAACTTATTGCTTCTAGGAGACAGTAAATACTCATGAACAAGAAAAGAAAACTCCAATAATGAGCAAAAGGAAGTTCCTTATCCAAGAATTTTCTCTTAACCAATGCACGATCAATGAATTTATCCCAAATATAATCATGAAAGCAGAATGCAAGAAATTTTACATTCTTTATAAGCTGTCCATGCGACTCTTCAACCACATATTCATTGCCTTCGTAATGATTATAAACTGGAGCAGAATTTTATTCGGCAAAGTTATCAACTACATCATTGCTTTCTAAATGCTCCCTTTTGTGCCAAACTCCATGTTGGAACATAAAATGCATGTGAGCAATTTCCAATGTTGTATGCTTGCTACCACATCACTTTTCCTTTCGAGGCCACACAACAGCTCCTTTTTCCACGCAGTATTAATATGTCCAAATTCTGCCAAAACTATCAACCAGTCGAATCTAATTGGTCCAACCAGTAAGGGTATGATATATGTATAGAAACACAATTTTGATATTATAATGAATTATTCAAAAAAATATTTTCATGAACTCTGTTGGGTCTTTTTAATGTGGGTTGCTAGGGAGATATGGTTCTAGTTTCCGAACAGTTGTGGGGGAAGTGATGGCCAGAGTTGTCTATTACTAGACTATTTATGTTTCTTTTTTTTTTCACTGGGTGTACAAGACATTTGTTAGGCACATTCAAATTTTCAAGATAAAAAAGATAATTAAGTATAAAAAAGGAATAAATGAATCAAAATAAAATTCCCAGTTAGTAATCATCTTCACTTTTAAGAAAGAGACAAATCTATTATGCTTCCGTTTAGGATGAATAAGGCTTGTATATTTTTAAAACAGATGAAAGTAACGAATCAGAATAAAATGGAGAAGCTACATAGTGGAGTAAATTAACAGAAATTATTCGGCAGATTGCATTTCATATGTTACTGAAAATTACAATCTGATTCCTACAACACTATAAAACCAAGTGTAACAACAACCCCATCCCCATCTCACATAGAGAGGGAAGCACAGGACTTCAAATACTTGCCCTGACAGCGACATAACAAACACACTAAAACACACACACACACAACATACTGAAGAAACAGACAGTAAACCAACATAAGACAATGTCAACTAGTCCCTCTCCTTCCTAGAGTAAACAACGTCTTCTTCCTCATCGTCCTTTGCCATGCCAAACGTATTCTTGACAGCATCAGCAGTAGTCTGTGCCATGTTTTTCACTTTCTCTCCGGTCTGCTGGACGAACCCCTCCGACTTCTCCTTGCCAGCGTCCGTGGTGTCTTTGGCCTTTTGACCTACCTCCGAGGCCTTCTCCTCGGTCGCCTCCTTGCTCTGCCGTGCCTTTGCCTTCGTAACTTTTCCCTTCTCTTGGCCCTTGTCTCTAGTTGTTTGAGTTGCACCCTTTGCTCTCTCCTGGGCTGCCTGGGCTGTCTCGTGGGTCTTGTCCTTTACTTCTTGGGCCTTCTGCCCAATTGTGTCCATCATCTGATTTGTCTTTTCCTGGATGTAAAAAAAGAACGGAAGTGCATCAACATTATTCAAAATGTAATGATAACATGTCAATCTGTTTAGACGACAATGATATAAATTAGATTGAAATGACATATCCAACAATTTTACAACATAAACAACATAACCTAAAATGTGACAGTTTAACATTCCTACTCTTCCTAATTTAGTTTCTGCCACTGCCTACAAAACTTCAAATACTCAAATTCGATGTGCTAAAAGCTAAACCGAGAGTACCACTGTCAATATATGTCATCAAATGTAGCTAAACTCTCATGTCAATGTATACCTGAGCTTGGCCCTTGGCTTCACCAGCTCGGTAGGTCTGTCTGTGGGACGCCATTTTTTGCTTTCGACACTGAGCGATACGTAAATTCTTTGAGTTATAACTGTAAGATTGCTGTTCTTTCGAAGTTTGTGATGCTGACTGCTGAGAAAGATTAATGCATGCTATAAACCTTTTCAAGTGTGCAACGTGATTGACATGTGTCTTACATGCAGACAGTCGGCAAAACGTGCCTTGCTCTAAGGCAACCATTGACATCGCTGTAATACTAGTATCGATGACTCATAACTTAGCGCCTACACCATGTTGACACGTGCTGATTCCCATTCAAACAGTATACGATTGTTTACTCTGAAGTTATATATTGGCTGCACTCAATCCATTGGAGCAGGATATTGTGTACAATCAAAACATGTACAGTACAGTAGTATTGTATCCTTGTAATTATGTAGGATAGTGCTATTTACATACTTATTTTTATCTCTTAAATATTTGTTTTAAGTTCCAACCATTGTATCGTGTAAATTAAAGAAAATTAATGAACAAAAATTAACAAGAGTATGAGATGTAAAATGAGATGTATAAATAACACTATTCATTATATATTCCCATATTTGAACTATTGCTCTCAAATTACACAGTTGGTCTTCCAATTCCCATTCCCATTTCTTAAGTTTTAGGCAATTTGCCTTGGTCACATTTTTTGTAAAACTCACCATGATCATGTGGTTGATTAGCTTCTTTTAAATACGATTAAATGGGTGGACTACTATACATTAGAAATCAACCACTTTAATTTTTAGTAAGGGCACTTCTCCAACAACCATGCAGCTATAATATACAGCTTCGTTGCAATTTTTTTACTTTTTCGTCAACTAATTTGGTTTCTTATTGGAATTGTTAGTAATAATTTCTGCAACGAGAACAATGTCTTTCTTTTGGTATAAGCCACAGTAGATTGGTTATAAAGCAAACACCATGTGTAGAAGAAACCTGTTGCTTCTTTTTCTAATCTAAAAGCATATTTGTACGTTACAAATCATGATCAAAGTGATATGCATGTATTGTCAGGGCCACATCAGACTCCGCAATTCAACAAATTTGGGTTCATATTTATCTTATGTTTGATGACGTTTTGGTTTTCTACTTTTAGTTGTTTAATAAAGTAGCGAAGCCACCAACTCATGAACTTCCAAAACGCTAGTCCTCATTATCTTTATAGACACATATAATAGTGGCATTTATAAGATTAAAATAGAAACCAATTCTAATTATTTTCAAGAAAAATTAATGTGATATAGTCACACTATAACATGGTATTACTAATTTAGATGTTACAATATGAAATGACTATATAATTGATATTTCAAGTTTGTAATGTAACATTAATAAATAAATACATGCATTTTATAAAAAGTGAGATTAGTAATACTAAGTAACGGTGTAAATGTCACTGAACAATCTATGCGAAAAAAAGGGGAAAGAGGAAAGAAGCAAGGCCCTTTGAAACTTGAAAGTCCGGTGCAGCCAAGTCGATGCCACTGGCTAATTTTATTATATAATTACGTATAATTAAGCATGTGTGGTCAACTAACAACCTCTCAGTTGATTGGCCTAAAAAAAGTCAAGAATTAGGAGGCGGATTCATGGCTGCTGCTTTCTTGCTGTTTCTCCTCTTATATATAGCAGATAATTGAGCAAATTGTATTCATTGCAATCCTTCTCTCAAACTTTTCTGCAACTACTTGACTTAGAAAGGAAATTAAAAGGAAAACAATGGATGTTGAGATCACTTCCTTGGCGTTGGTAAATAATACATTGATGAAGGTTGCTATGTTTGTGGTAGTTCAAGCTTTGGTTTATCTGATCCTTTCAAGTTCATCCAGCCTCTTCTCCAGGAACAAATTGAGGTCACTCAACAGCTTTCGGCCCATTCGTTCTGCTAGCATTAACCGGATTCTGGCTGTCATCTCCGACTTGCCAACCGGCAGTACTGCTAATGATCAGCCATCACCACGTACATGATCCCAGCAGGAAAAATCTTCTATTTATAGATGATTCATGTCCTATATATCATTAATTCTTTTAGAAGCATATATATATATATATATATATGTTGTACAATATATTGATGACAATATTCAGTTCATTCTTTAATGTTACACATAAACTGCTGTAATAGTCCACATGTAACTCTGTAATATATGGTCTTCTTTTGTTGTGTAATTTCTTTTGAAGTATTGTTGTATATATGTTCCTGTGATCTGGGGGACCTAATTCGTAAGTCCGAAAAATCAACTAGGGTTTTCGATAGAGAAGTTCAAATTTTTTTTCTTGTACCCTGCGTTAATTAGTCTCTAAAACACATATCCATATATGTGAGTGTATATGAACACCCTATTTTAAAGGAATTCCTGCCAAGATGATGAATCCTGCTATATGTGCTTCAACATAAGCTTCGGGTAACCAAATATGGACTGATACCACACATAGGAGACCCTGAAAAGAACAAATTATTGACGAATGCTTGAAAAGAGGGCAAAGAGTGAGCAGTGATTTCAAAGCCAAAATCTTGGTTGCGATCTAATTTGACTTAATAGATTAATTAAAGTAGCTCTCTTCATTCCATTTTGTTTATCCATCAGTACACAAATGAAATGACAGCTGACTAAAGTTTTCCATCAATTCCGGTTACTTTAAAAGTGCACAAAAACCCTATCATTTTTTTCAGAAGGAAAAGAAATGGTAATAGGAGGAGAAATAATCATACTTCATTCTATTTATGCGTCTAAACCACTTTAAAATTAGAGACATGCACCACCGTATCATAGGCAAAGATTGAAATACAAGCCCAAAGGCCATGAAAGAGTATAAGTTTGTGGTGTTTAGGCAATTGGTGGCTCCCTTGCTTAATGCTTTGGTCACCGTAAAATCTCACTTGCTTAGAACAACACCAAAACACTATAACAACTCACAATTTGAGTCATTTTTTTTTTTATATACTTACATTAATGGGGTGAAGGAACAAATTGATTGCGAACTCGCTATTTTTGAGATATTAAATGTGAATATCACTAAACTGTAATCATATAGTTCCAAATAACAATTATTTAAGCTAGTTGAGATGCCATTCACACACATATATATATATATATATATTACATAGTTCAACAAAATTGGAATGATGAAAAAGTGCAAGACTGGCATAATTAAAAAAGGCCATTTGGGCAATTTATTCCTAGAGATGCTAGAGATGGAGATGAAATCATGAAATAACCAGAACGCTCTGAAAACCACAAGCAAACCACCATATGCAATAAGTTCGACGCTAAATAGAAAAAGGAAGATTAGAACTTTTGTCATCGATGCGGGGACAAATGTTTTGCCATTGAAATTAGAAAGGCAATTTCAATTAGTTTGAATTCATGAAAACATCATTCATTCATATATTAAGAAACACTGACTTCGATACATCCCAACCATTCACAAACCCCATTCTTCTTCGGACACCACTTATTCTGTGGTATTTCATTTTAGTCTCAGATAAAAACACCACAGAGGTTTATGTCTTCTAATGAGCCCATGTAAGGCTCGAACTACCGTGTCCAACCCTAGACCACGACAGTCCCAGATCAAGTGTATCATGGTTGACTTGCGGCTGTTTTAGGCCAGCCGCCACCTGCCACCATCATTATGTGCTAATCTCTGTCTCCTTTTAGTTGTCTCATTTTCGACAATATCCTCAAGCTGAGGCCATATATTTTCTACCTGCACCGGTACCTCCTAGCAAATTTTCCTCCCCAATTACACCAATGTCACTAACCTGAGCAACTGTCGACCCCCGAGGCTCAGCATCCTGGGTTCTACTATCTCCCCTCACCACTCTCCCCCTTGTGTCAATTGTCTCCTTATCTTTTTAAGTGGCCGTTGGGCTCTACTGCTAGGGGTGGGTTCAAAAAACCGAAAACCGAAAACCAAACCGAACCGAGGCCGAAAAAAACCGAATCGAAAAAAAAATCATATATAAATACTAAAAAATACATGTTGCCGTCAGGGTTTGAACCCTTTCCCTACGGGTTGGGTTGGTTGTTGCAAGCCAACTTGACTGTAGGCTTTGTGTTGTTATAATTGTACCAGTAATTTATTTATAGGTTTCTTATGTTTAATGCTTTATAAAATTTCTTAACTTTACAAACCCTAGCTGTCTCACTCCCATTTCATTTCAGATCTCAAACACCTCTTTGTTCCGTCCGCTGCTTCCTCTCTTTCTCTCTCTTTCTCTCCCTCCCTCTCCCTCCCCTTCCTCTCTTCCTCCAAATCACTCTCTCTCTCCAGTCTTCTCCTGTCCTCCTCGCGGATTCCTTCTTCCAAACCATGATTTTCCCTCGCCCTTTTCTAGATCCGACAAAAAGAGGAATTGAAAGAGCTTGCGACGATCATGGCTATATCGCTGCAACAAAGGTTGTGGTTTTATTTATTTGCTAGTTCATAGGTTTTTAATTGTATGGTTACCCATTTGAAATTTATGTAATTTAAGGTGAAAAAGTTTGTATTTTTCTCTAAATATGTTTTGGAATTTTCCAGATCTATTGTGGACTTGACTATGAATTTGAATGTGGGCACTGGGCACGCGTTATTGAAGTCCGATTATCGTATTTAGAAGAACCCAATTGCTTTTTTTTTTTTCGATTTGCATCGATCAGTTAATTTGTTGAGTTATTTCATGATTTTGTAAATTTTAAAGTTTTTGAATTTTGAATCCTGGCGATGTACATTTCCTTGAAGAATATATGTTTATGTATTTGCTTAACTTTTGAAAATTTGAATTCGTTCTGCTTGATCACAAGTAGTTGAATTACTTGAATATATTCAGGATTTTGAGGCTCTCAATTCTCTGATATATGAGAACTGGGAGGTTGATAGGTAGGTTTCTTCCATTTACATCATTTAAAAATAAAAATAAAAATAAAAAACCGAAAAAAACCGAAACCGAACTGGAAAAAACCGAAACTGAAAAAAACCGAACAAAAAAAAAACCGAAAAAAAAATGAACCGAACCAAACTGAACCGAAATTTCGGTTTGGTTTCGGTTTTGGCAAAAAACCGAACCATTTTGAACCGAACCCACCCCTATCTGTTGCTGCTTCCTTCGTTTGCGCTTCTCTTCAATCCCATCCTATTGAACAAGTCCACTCCTTCCACCTGTTCCCTTGGAATACTAGTTGTTTGCTGCGTCCCTGTCAAATATGGGCTTACCATCGGATCTGTATGAACTTGCTGCCTCCCACCGTTTATCCTTCCCGAGGGCTAGGCCAAAGGGCTCGTGAGCCCCACAGAATCTGAAAGGGCCAAAGGGCTGGTCCCTTCCAGCCAGCCAGCCCTGGGCTAGGCATAATTTTGCTTAAAACTGTCGGATATAACCTACAAGAATAATTTTATTTATCGCAATAGTGTCAGTTATAACTGACATGAATAATTTTGATTAATTGCAATCGTGTCGGTTATAACCAACATGAATAATATGAAAATTTTGAATACAACGACTAGCTGAGTCAGTTAGCCGTTGTATTCAATTTTTTTTAAAAGCTTTTTTTTTCTATAACGTCCTATAACTTCTATTTTTACAAAATTTGTTTCATATTTTTTTTTTAAATTCTATTTTTTTTTCCTATAACTTCTATTTTACAAAATTTGGTTCATATTTTTTGTTTAAATTCTACTTTTTTTTCCCTATAACTTCTATTTTACAAAATTTGGTTCAAATCCAATGGCTAACTGACATCACTTAGTCGTTGGATTTGAATTGAAGTTGTAGTTTTTAAATAATAAATTAGTTTGGCCCTTTGGCCCTTGATTGGAGATGGAGGTAAATATAGCTATGTACTGTTCATTAAAATATTAATATCTTGGAGAACCAGAAGATTAAAACAAACCTTTTGCCCAGCCCTCGGTTAGAGATGGTCTTAATGATTGCTACTACGATCCATCTTCCACCCAAAACAACTAAATTATAACATAAAAGAGCAAACACAGCAAGCACATCGGTCGGCCGGTGGCGGCTCTTGTTACAAGAACGTGGCATGAAAATGGTCCAATTTCAATTATATTAAGCTAAAAATATCTTCTTGTGACACTTCTTAAACATTGATTTAAATGATGTATGTTATTGATGAGAAAATTGACTTTGTATGAGTTTATAAGTAAGTTGAATAACTTTTTATATTACTAATTAATTTTATGTTAGAACTTTAATTTTCTTCATAGTATCAGAGAAGATTGTTCCATGTAGGAAACTCAACGACTACATATGCTCTACAACACCTCATTTGTATTGTTTACGTGTTAGGATTAAAAATTCGCTATACGTGAGAGGATTTGTTAATACTAAATCATACATTGATGAGAGAAGAAACATTATATAAATTTATAAGTAAGTTAAGTTACTTCGCACATTGTCAATTAATTTTTTTATAGAACATCGACATCAACTTTCTTATTGTGTGCTGTTTTCTTATCTTCGTAAGTTATGATCCAGAACAGACTACGATGATATATAGAAATCAATAGCCTTCAATCCTAGCTGCCAACTGGTCCTCCAGGATTGGCTTAGGAAACCCAACGTGGAGACATATAATTGTATATATTATATCTTTACATATATAGCAACTATTAGCACAAAGAAACGTGTATAAAAGTTCAAAATTTTACATTGTTCAATCACCTCTTGACTTCTTCAAATGTTGCTGTCGATCGCCTGCCGGTATCGTGACATCAGAGGCAGACATGGAATACGACAACTTTACAGGGATGCGTTTTATGTGGTATCCAATGACAAAGATTTTCATTACTTACAATGTGAAAGGAACTTCTTGGTGATCATTAAATGATGACAAGAAATGGTTTATTAAAAAAATATAAAGGAGTCAAATGATTTTGTTTATGATAATAATAATCACTCAAGCCTAAGAGAAATTGGAAGTCATGCATTAATTACTTTATTAAATTATACCAATGCATGTCATATTATTATGTTAAAAGTTTATTTGGAAGAGTTGTAGTTTTATTGAAATGTTTTTAAAAGTAATTATTAACAAAAATACAAGTGAGTCTTGAAAAAACAATTAAAATGTTTCCAGGAAGAACTTCAAAGTGTTTATGGAACATAAAAATATTTTTCTAAAAATTCTTTTAGTCATTATAAAAACACTTCTAAACGAGTCATAAAT